GTATGTCTTTTATGAAGATTTATGGCTACAATTCATATGTAAAGCATCAAGCTTTAGATAAGTTTGGACCTAAATCTAACAAATGCTATTTTGTGGAGTATCGAAAAAAAAAAAAAAACCAATGGAAACTACTTCTATAACATAAAAGAGAACAAAGTGTTTGTTGCTTGAGTTGATGTCTTTTTAGAAAGAGAATTCATCTTTAAAAGGACCAATGGGAGGAGAGCAGAACTCAAAAAAATTTAAGATCCCCAATATAGCAACACACTTTAGGTGGAATTCGAGCAGAGGGCATAAGTTGTTGTTGAAAAAATACTTGCTCAAATAACATAATGCCCATATAGATCTAGCAAGGTAAGTAATGAGCCTAAGAGATATAGATTTCTCATAGCTCATAGCACCGATGTATTGCTTATGGATCATAATAAGCCTACTACCTACCAAAAGGCTATCACGGGCCCGGACTTTGAAAACTAGCAAGAAGGAATGAGATCTAAAATGGAATCCATACATACAAACAAAGAATGGACTTTGCTTGAACCACATGAAGGGGTAAAATCCATTAGGTGCAAGTGGGTTTTCAAAAGAAAACTGATATAGATGGTAATGTACCAACTTTTAAGGGATGATTGGTTGCTAAGGGTTTCAAGTAAATTCATGGTATAAACTATGATGAAACATTTTCTCTAGTCACTATGCTTAAATCCATGAGGATCTTGCTTGCTATAATAACTTTTTATGATTATGAAATCTAGCAAATGGATGTCAAAACTATATTTCTTAATGGAAATCTTCTTAAGCATATGTATATGACACAACTTGAGTGTTTTGTTGATATGAAAAATGCTAGAAAGGCATGTAATCTATAAAGATCCATTTATTGGTTAAAATAGGCTTCTATGAGTTGGAATTTTCATTTTGATGATACAATCAATGAGTTTGGTTTTATTAAGAATGAGGATGAATCTTGCATTTGCAAGAAGGTTAGTGGGAGCATAATTATCTTCTTGGTGTTATCCGTAGATGGCATACTACTCATCGAAAATAACATACTAGCCTATAGTTTGTAAAGACTTGGTTGGGGAATTACTTCTCCATGAAGGACTTAGGTGAAGTCGCTTATATTTTTGGCATCTAAATCCATAGAGATAGATCAAGGAAATTACATGGCCTAAGTTAGAGTCTATACATTGATAAAGTGCTAAAATAGTTTAGCATGAATAAGTCCAAAAAGAGATTTCTACCTATGTCGGATGGTATAAATCTTTCTAAGGCTCAATGCCCTTCCACACAGGAAGACAGAGACCGTATGAGTAAGATACCATTTTCTTCTACAAATAAATCAATCATGTATGCCATGATATGTACTCATCCTAATATTTCATATGCTCGAGCATGATAAGTAGGTACTAATATGATCTTAGTGAGAGTCACTAGATTGTTGTTAAGAATACTCCGAAGTACCTTAATAGAATTAAATGTTGATGATTCATTAGGTGCACTAAGAATCTAATGAAGATAGGTAGATGACTAGGATAAGACATGTCATTCCGTATATGTTAAAAGAGTTATCACACCGCAATTCAATAAATTTTTACTCAAGAAATCCATGATCATAGTAGGAGATTACAAATAGAGTATAGTTGGTTTACTCTAAAGCTAAAACATTTGAAAATCGAAGAAAACTTGTGTGATCATAATCAAATAAACTATAAACCAAGTTTGAGATCACACTATGATAAATGACATGAGGACTAAATTGATTGGTAACCATGCTCATGAAAGGTAATAATAGATTAATTAATTCTTCTAGACAATTAGATAGTCATGATGCCTTATTAGAGGCTAGTCTTGATTTATGTATCAAGAGGTAAAAGAGGTATTTTTTATTCTTGATACATTGCCAACTTATATAAGAGCCTATTAAGTTATGCATATAACTTTAAGCATTCACATAATAAAAGAGAAGCAAAGATTTTGTAAAAGGTTTTGGAAAATTAAAAGTTTCTGTTTTAGAAAAAATTTCCTAAAATCAAAAGTTTCTTATTTTAGAAATCAGTTTCTTAATTTGGAATTTAGTTCTAGATTTGGAAGTAAGTTACCTAAAAAGGAAATTTGTCTCCTAATTTAGGTTTAGGGGTAATTTAAAAAATTATTTTTTAATGTGGGCTTCCTAAAAATATCTAACTTAATTTATTTAGACAATCTAAATTAATTCTTAATTAATTAAAACAGAAGAGTTTGGGCCAATAGGCTTAATTTAAAAACCCGTAAGATATTTTGGTGGAAGGATAAACTTGAACCCTATTAGATAAGGCTCGGGTTTTATAAGGATAATATCAAACAAACCCATCCACATTGCAATCATTGTCCTAGGAGGACAAGGATGCCGCGCCATATATAAATAGTTTGGAGAGAAGCGAAAAGGTGGGTAAGAGATTAACACACACACAGAGCAAAAAAAAAAAAAAAAAAAAAAGAGAAAGTGTTTATCTTCTAAAAGTCGAGTTGTTGTATCTCTCCTTAAAAGTTTGAGTTGCTACAAAAAACCCTAACTCATTTCTTTAGAAAGCAAATCAACTATACGGAAGGATTGGAACTAGCACTTTATGATTTTTTTGTGGCTTCCTTTATGAGTGTTTATGCTATATGGATTATCGATAGAGATTGGATACTTGGATGAGTCTCTTTTTTTGGAAAGGCTAAATCCGTGCTACAAGAGGTAATATTTTATTCATGGCTTTAATTTATGTATGTATGATTAGTTGATTCAATGGCTTGATCTTGGAAGCCTTAGATGGAGGAAAATTTTTATTTTATTTCATACCTCCGGAGGATGAATGATCCTTCAAGTTGATCACTCTCATTCCAAACATTGTGATTTGAACTTGTATAGATGTTTTATGAAAATCATGCATTTGTCTTTGCCTTTGAAGATATGAAACATGATGAAAACATTTTCATGATCCGAATGCAATCAAATGACCTTACATATAACCCATCATCTTAAATTAACTATGGAGGCTGAAATCACGCGTCCATGAAATACATAACATTTATTCATGAAACATTAAATAATATATACGAATGACATCAAATGCTTTACTAACATTTAATCATTAAGAATCCAACACTTAATCATCAAAAACTCAATTATTCCTTGCAAATGGATCTTGTTCGAATGATCCAACATGAATAAAAACTTCAATTAAGCATGTATCATCGGATAACAACTTAATAATCACTTACATAAACATTTTACATGGACAAATATAACGGAATAACAAGATCACTCTTAGGTCGAATTTACCAAGAACAACCCAAAGCATAATCCAAATATGTAACCATTTAGATAACACAAAAAATCATTTCCAAATAATTTCATGTCCTAAAGCCGATGATTACCATACATAAATGAACATGTCATCAACTCACAATAAAATTCACATTTGGACAAAACATGTCAAGAAATGATTTAAAGAACAATTCAAGCATATTATCCATTAATTAAAGTCCACATAAACAAATTTCCAAATGCTTAATTGACCTAAAAATAACATAATTAACAATACACCTATGATCATTTAAACAATCAACACAATTTCAGCATCTAGCCAAATTTAACAACAACTCTCTCAAACATGTAATAATTCATTAAACTTATGAATGCAGCATCTTAAAGGTTTCTAAATCACATTTTAAGTTAATTCCATATTTTAATCATCATTTTTTTTGTTTGAAAGCATAATATGGTCTTTATTGATTCATAACCAATCACTCGGAAATTACAACATATCTACGATAGCCGAAGCCTTGTTTCAAACATTTTTGTCAAAATATTCCTCCCTTATACAACATTGGGTGGACAAAAGTAAATTACAACACTAGAAAGGTATTGTACACATTATGGCAAATTAGTCCTTGACCGACGTAATTTACATTTGAAAGTAAATTTCACCGGATTGGGAGAGAAAACTGGGACAATAGAGAGAGGGAATGAATAGAAGATTTCATAGACAAGTAATTGAGTTTCCTTTAATTATTACTCGATGGATTGTTGAAGTAATATTTTAGTTTTGGATCCGAGTAAATTCCTTTATGCGAGAGATAAACTCCTAAGTTAGGGATGGATGATTTTAATTCTTATTCTATGTGATTAATTATTTTTCTCAACTCAAAACTTGATTCTTGATATATGATGAATTGATATTGCTTGTATTTAATGCTTTAGGAGAGTGATCACCTCATATTGATTTAATGACATGTGCTTGAAACTTGAGAAGGAATTATATGTGTTAGATCATAGGAATATAAATCACAAGTTTACTATTAATTGAAAGACAACTAGTTCTTGTGCGATAATGGAAGAGAGAAGTGCGTGATGGCATGCTTATTTGACATTAGAGGATTCCATTGATTCTAATGCTTTTAGATCTTAATTTAAGTCACATAGAAATATGAATGATTTGTTAGGTGAAGAATAAGGTTAATCGACTAGAGATAGCTTATTAACTTATTCGGAGAATTCAGTCATCACATATATTAATATAGACCTTAAGGTGATTTGTGAGTTGAGCTAATATAATTAATTGCATAAGTTAGAATTAAATGAATCTATCTCTAACTACTTTCATATCATCTTATTAGTAATTTTCAATTCTACAAATTTATAATAGAGTTAATTTAATTTTAATTTTTTAATTGTTTTGATTAATTCAACTTATTCTAAGTTAGATAATTTTAGTAATGTAATTTAATTCCTTGTGGGAACCATACTTTTTTACCTTTTATTGCACACTTATATTGGATTTATTGCTTATCTCATTGTGTTAAAAAAATAATAACACTAACCCACCCAATCCCTTACAAAGTCAAGCAATACGAGTAATATCCTAATAGAAAGCAATCCGAGAACCCAAATAAGCCGGTTCCACTCTTCACTTAACAAACCATTTTCGATCACATCGAAGTAAGTATTATTGAACTCTCCACTCAAGATCTTATGTCATGATCCCTTGTAAAGGGTGCCCGAGGGTTGCTCGAGCTGCTAGTCTATTGACGGTGGCCGTATCTAAGGAGACCTTACAGGAGATCAATGATATCTCCAGCAGAGTGATCAACGTGCTGCATTACTACGTTCGAAGGTGAGGAAGCTTCACGACGGCTTTAATGCTTTCCCGAGATGTTGCATCATTTGGCCGATCTAACCTACCCTTTCTAACATACTTCTCAGGCATGTCGGTCTACTCTTTCTAACATATGCCGAGGTAATGGACCTAAAACTCTCTCCATCATGGCTAAGTGCTCCAAATTCTTATATGTCCGAAACAACGTTTCTCCCGAGCAAAGTTTAACCAATATACAACCAACACTCCATATGTCGCATGTATAACTCCATCCAAGTCCAAGAATAACCTCGAGTGCTTGGTAGTGCCGAGTAGAGATAATGTAGTTACGATCTTGATGGCCATAAGTCGTGTCTTGGCAAAATCAATAACCTTAATAGCACTTGAACAAAGCGATCGCCATTTCTATCATTTTTTCTAAGCAAATGAAGCACATCTATTTCTAACATTGTCGCTTCATGATATTTTTTAGTACTTCGCATAACTTTTATGGCAACCATCTCTTTTGTTTCCCTATCCCAGCATTCCAAAACCCGACCGAAGGTGCTTTCACCAATTTTTCTGTATACCTTATAGCGACACGTTAAATTCTCCCCAAGAGCAAATATGTAATGTCCATCTTTGTCATCCTCTCGCCATGGGATAGAGCTTTTTAAGCTAATCCCTTCACAAAATGATCGGCATGGTTGGGGAGCACCCTCGATGGTCTAATGCTTGTCCCATTTGCAACCACTTGCCTATAATACAATCCTAACCGAGCCTTAGTGTGAGTCCGCCGTTGAAGTTGAGGAGGGGAATCCCGATCCGCTAATTTGGGCCTCTTTATTGGATGACGATCCACGTAATTGTGTGGAAATTCACTCACGTACTCCATCTCCATTTCTTAATTCATTCATACAATTTCTAAAACCCTAACCCTTTATCCATCATCAATTTTAATCATCATTTAAACTCATGATCCATCATGATCAATCATTCATGATCAACATCACATATTCAATGATCAATCATCAATTCAACCAACAATTAAGCAATCAAACATGATTAGATATTAATCAAGCGAATACACTTAATAATTCTAATAATTTTTATGCCTTATGTAGTAGTGAGTTGATTACGCTTATATGAAGTTTAGTTAGTATTGAAACCTCTTGAATTGCTCACTAAAATCCCTCCTTCTTCCTTGCAAAGTTTCGACCAAGCTTCCTTAATTTCCTCCATCTTTCGGGTAACTTCTCCTTCTCTCAAACTTTCGACCACTTCTCCTTCTACACAAAATTAGTTTTTCTTCTTATCTTTTGATGTTTAACTAGCCTAATTTTCCCATACTTCCCCTATTTCTAGCCATTTTTCTAACCTAATAAAGCTTCATGGAAGCTTGGATATTTGTTTGCATTAAGTAATTAATTTTGGTGAGTTTCTTTGATATTTCTTTAGATGAAGCTAGTAGTTTTTTTTCCTTCTTATTTTCTCTTCTCTTCATCAAATCAATTGTGCAATGAAGCTCATAAATTATCACATGTATAAATTATCTAAGCTAAGATCTTTATCTAGATTATTCTAAGTTTATTAAGGTTAAAATATCATTTAGTTGGCTTGGATATTTTTCTCCCTTTTTTCTTTGTTTTGGCTTAATTATTCAAGGTGAATGGTTGGGATTTTTTCCATTTAGATGGCCACTTGAATGACCATCTTTGATTGCTTCACGTAATTAATTAATTTTATGTAGTTTCCATGAAATTTCATAACTTCATACTTGTAACTTTTCTGCAATTTCCTAAATTATTTTATGTAATGTCTAGGAAATTTCCTAATTTAACATCTTCTAACTTCCAAGATATTTCCATGAATTTTTCTCTTGCTTTACCATGTACCTTTCATTCAATTTCTCTTCATTTGCCATGAAATTTTCAAGCAACATCCTAAGTCTTTCATGTAATTTCCATGAACCTTCCTAAATCTAATATTTGCTTAGATGATTAATATTTTACTTTGATGTTAATGCATGCATAGCTCATCCATAATTCATCCTATCCTAGTTGAATCCTTCAAGTCCCTTAAATTGGTTCACTTTACAATTTAGTCAATTAACTTTGTTATTTTATTCAATCAAGTCCTTACACTTTGGCCCCTAAACTTTTAATTATTTCAATTAAGTCTTCATGCCATCTATACACTTGTTGTATTACATGATCAAAACATGCACACTTAAGCACTTAATAATTCAATCATAATTCATAACATTGATACATACATAAACACACTTTCTAGGTTAACGTAAAATATTAATTTAACATACTTAAATAAATATTCATCCGCTAAAATAAATTATTCGGATACATATATATTCTTAGTATAGGTGCTTAAGATCGAACCATAATTGGATAGGTTTGAGTTATTATATTATTGCATTATTTATTTTATCAATAATAAAATAAGTCTTTCTATTAATTTTTATCATTTATATTTAATTATTAAATAGAATTAGATAGAAGTCCATATGATATGCATTTGCATTAATAATTGATCGAAAGATGTGAGATAAACATTAACGCACTTAAATGATATCATTAAACATTCCAAGTCATAGCATTGTCAAAAATAGACATTGACTATATGTTGTTAGATTTGTGAGTGCTATTCTCAAGCTATAAAATAAGAGTAGGAGATCTCACACCTATTAGCATGATGATGCCAAAGGAAGCACTTAGGTGATTTATATTAGAAAACATATCATTAGACTTGACTTGCTATAAGAACCAATTTGGTTTAGTCTATGCGAATCTCATACCGGATGGGTACAACCGATCCTTTTACTTGAAGTCATCACGATGATCTCATTAGAGGATTTATGTACTTTGACACTCATTTCGATGGACCTAGTGAAGGGTTGCATATGGGCGATTAGTTGGGTGCACTAAGAATCTAATAGAGATAAATGGATAACTAAGATAGGACATGTCATTCTTTATATACGAAAGGAGTTATCACGTTGCTATTCGATGAATGTTTGCTAAAAAAATCTATGGCAATAGTAGGAGTATACCAATGAAGCATAGTTGGTTTACTCTATGAGCTAAGATATTTGAGAATAAAAAAGCAAACTTATGTGATTACAATCGAACATAATAATAATAAAATTTGAGATCATATTGTGATAAATTAACATGAGACCGATTTGTATGGTAACCATACTCACGAAAGGTAATTACGGATCAATTAATCGTCCTAAAGAATTGGATAGTCATGATATTTTTCTAGACATAAATCTTGATTTATGTATTAAGAGGTAAAAGGGGTATCTTTTATTCTTGATACATTGCTAACATATCTAGAAGCCTATTGAGTCACACGTATAACTTTAAGCATCACATAATAAAAGAAAAGAAAAGATGTTGAAAAAAGTTTTCAATTTTGAAAGCTTTCAATTATAGAAAAGGTTTCCAAAAATGGAATGTTTCTTAAAATGAGAAATTTCCTATTTTAGAAATCTATTTTCTAATTTGGAAGTCGGTTCTAAATTTAAAAGTTACCTAAAAAGAAAATTATTTTCCTCATTTAGTTTTAAGGGTAATTTAGGAAATTGCTTTCTAATGTGAGCCTCCAACAATATCTAACCTAATTTATTTGGATAGTCCAAATTAATTAGTAATTAATTAGGCCAACGGAGTTTGGCCCAATAGGTTTAATTAAAGGTCCGAAAGATATTTTGATGGGAGGATAAATAGGAACCTTATCGGATAAGAATGAATGTTGTAAAGGATAAGATCAAAAAGTCCATATGCATAATAACTCTTAATCCTTGGAGGATTAGGAAGCAATAACCTAGAGTCTACATGGGATAAGTTTTCGTCCCTTCCTTATCCTTAGAGGACAAGGAAGCCTCTCCACCTATAAATAGATGGAGAGGTGCGAGTAAGGAAAAAAAAAGACATTAGTGGCTACAAGCCAAAAGGTAAAAGATAAGGAGAAAATAGTTTCTCCCTACCCATACCACCTCTCCCCTCTAAATTAGGATTTTTGAAAAATATTCCTAAAGAGATTTCTAAAGAAAAAATACTAAACAACTTAGAAAAGATGGAGCTAGCACTCTACTAATTTTTAGTGCTTCTTATGTGGGTTTTTAGATTATATGGATTAGCAATAGAGGCTAGATGCTTAGACATCTCTCTTTTTGTAAAGATTTAATTCTACGCTACAAGAGGTAATCCTTTATTTATGATTTAATTGATGCATATATGATTAATTGATTCAATGACATGATCTTGGGAACTTTAGATGGAGGAAAATTTTTTATTTTATTCCGCATCTTCTAGGATGCATGATCCCTTCAATTGGTATTAGAGCCTCCGTTAAATCTTTGATTATATGTTTTGTTAATTAGGTTAACTACATGAATTAACAATTCTTGATCATAAATATTGGGTTTTTTGTATTTTATGATTGACTTAAAATTGAAATTTGAGTTTTGAAGAGTAGTGAGGCCAACGTTAGACGTTGGCATTTGTATGTACGAGCAAGGAGCTAGTTTAATCACATGATAAGCCGGACATATGCCCAGTCGCTCATGCTTTTCTTTTTATTAGGCTAGTCATGTGCTAGATGTGTGATAAGGTAGGCCTTTGTAGGCTAGTCGCATGCTGGGCATTTGATAGGCCAAGTAGTTATATGCTAGGCACACGGCAAGATAGCCCTACCGGGTAGTCATACATGGGGCACATGATAGGCCCGACATGCCTTATGCATGTAAGGCCTTCTAACTAAAGCTAGGCATGTAAGAGGCATATGACATGCCAAGCTTGGTAGGCTTAGCCAAGTCTCATAGTGGCATGCGATATTGCACATGCTAGGCCTAAGGCTAGGTCACGATGTGCCTAGTGCATGTCGAGCACGCTCTAAGTGCATGCATGGCCGAGGCCTATGGCGTGCCGGACACATACATGTACCGGATAGTTATGTCAAGCACGTGCATGTGCCACACACCGAGTTAAGCATGCACACGAGCACCGAGCATGCACGAGTGTGCTAGGCTTGAGGCTAGCATAAGGCCGGATGTATGCAAGCACACCGAGCTAATGGCTTGGTTGTAGAAGCCTATGGGCCCTCGAGGCTCAAAATCCCTTGGGCCTAAAACCCTAAAAGTTTTAAAATTAAAATTTAAAATTTTTTTTATAATTTTATTAAATGACCAAAACATAAATTTATAATTACAATTTAAATGAAATATGTTTCATGAGTATGCCATGTATCAATATGATTAAAACATAGATGAATTATATAGATGAGTCAACCTAGTTTTTTGGAATGAATGTTTGTCATTTTTTAGATAAATAGGGCCTACGTGTCCCGCCATCTCTATCATTCTATTGTATTTCTCTTCTCATCTTACTCCCCTCAAATGTAACTCAAGGTTTCTTGCTCAAATAAATGTAAAAGTAGAATATATGAATTTGGATAGATGCAAGGAGAAGAATCCAGAAGTGAAAACGATCTTGAAGAATTTGTAATAATTTTTCTCTTATGTATTTGACTCACTAATCTTCTTATGGCTAGAGGGGGCTAGTAGTAAAGATCCATTATCATTTATTAGTCTTTGAATTACACATGAGATGTGTGTGTTTATATTATACGATTAATTGTTAGTATGCATGATAGGACTAATGTGATTAATGACTAGTATGCTTGATATGAAGAGACCTATCATATTAAATCCTTTAAAATAAATATAAAGTTAATTTCCTTCCAACATTATGAGGAGGGAACTCTCTTAATCATTGTTAGCTTGTTGAGATAACTCAAGGTCACTTCTTCCCCGAGGGAAATGAATCATGAGCAATTCGATGTCCCGGAACATTTGGGTTTAACTTGAAATAAGTTGTT